TTCTAAGAAAATCACTATAATGTAAAGACAATAATTTTTCGAGCGTTACTTTTTTGTAATTTTTTTACAGTCAAATGGATGATACCACAGCTATGTTTGAATACACGATGCATTCCCCAATTATCAAACTTTCAAATGCATATTTTGGATCCATTCTATCTAATACAGTTTCTAAGAAAATCACTAAAATGTAAACACAATGATTTTTCGAACGTTATTTTTTTGTAATTTTGTTACAGTCAAACGGATGATACCACAACTATGTTTGAATACACGATGCATTCCCTAATTATCAAACTTTCAAATACATATTTTGGATCAATCTATCTATTAGAGTTTCTAAGAAAATCACCTAAATGTAAAGACAATGATTTTTCGAGCGTTATTTTTTTGTAATTTTATTAGTCTAACGGATGATACCACAACTATGTATGAATACACGTTGCATTCCCCAACTATCAAACTTTCAAATGAATATTTTGGATCAATCTATCTATTAGAGTTTCTAAGAAAATCACCTAAATGTAAAGACAATGATTTTTCGAGCGTTATTTTTTTGTAATTTTATTAGTCTAACGGATGATACCACAACTATATATGAATACTCGATGCATTCCCCAACTAACAAATTTTCAAATGCACCTTTTGGATCCATTCTATCAAATACAGTTTCTAAGAAAATCACTAAAATGTAAAGACAATTATTTTTCGAACGTTATTTTTTTTGTAATATTGTTACAGTCAAAGGGATGATACCACATGAATACATCCCTAACTATCAAACTTTCAAATGCATGATTAGGATCAATCTATCTATTAGAGTTTTTAAGAAAATTACTAAAATATAAAGACAATGATTTTTCGAGCGTTATTTTTTTTGTAATTTTATTACAGCCAAACGGATGATACCATAGCTATGTTGCATTCGTTTCATTTCTATCAATTAGTTTACTAAATTAAATATTTCATGTATTATATTACAGAACTTGAAATACATATTTCATTTCAGTATACATTGTTTATATTATTTCAATTTATCATTAATAATATTACAAATTCTAAATAAATAAAATCCTCAACATTTCATTTCTAATAAGTAATTGTTTACAATAAACTTAAGTTTTCATAAGTATCATTAGGATTAACTTTAAAAGAAATTCTTTGATTATAGATATTTAAAATGATTTGTATTTGATCAATCATTTTATAGTTCTGTCATAAAGCGTCATTACAAAATTTGTTGTTTAGTTTCTAAAGTATATAGTTTTTAGCCATGAACAAGCAACAGAACATCGATGAAGAGAAGAACTTGCATTTGGATAAACCTGGAAAGGGCAAGGTAAAATATGCTAAATTTAACATTAATGAAGAATTAACTGGAATCGATTATGTAGACCCAGGAACAGATGAAGAAGCATACATTGGATTCAAGTCTTGACTTTAAACCGATCGACAGAGCCATGCACATCCTAACGTGAGTAGAGAGTAGAAGAGAAAATTCGAATTGGGATTTAAGTAAAGGTAGTTTAAGTTGGCAATACGCGCGCACCTTTGGATAAATTGGTCTCTGCATTGTTTGTTTTGTTTTGTGTTGTGTAATTTATTATGTCAAAATACCGTTTATTTTGAAATGTGTCAGACATGAAGTCACCGATGCAGTAACATGAAACAATGGTTTAGAGACCGTTCTTTTTTCCAACTTTCCGAAGAGTCCAATAAACGATGGACGTGGAGGAGCCCCTCGATGCTTCTCGCATCGTGAACATCGACGAAACGTAAGAGACGCATTGAACTAAACGTCGTCGTCCCTCATATATATCTCTTAATACCTTAAGGCTTAAGCAAACAAAAACGAACGCATCGAAGAGCGACGTTAAAAATATCCCAATCTACTGTAAATATTTATTTGCCATCTTACAAATATCAAACAACTACGCCCCTTCATAGGTCCGGTGATGACATCCAGAAGATCTCTATTATCCAGTCGCTGCCTCAACTCTGCAGCATGGACCAGGCCTCCACATACAACAGGGTCATCCCCAAGATACAGCATGACCTGATCAACGGCTCCAGTGAGTTCCAGATCTCCACTAGTCGGGTCTTCAAGTCCCTCATCGAAACCAAATCAAACATCAGCTTGATTACCTCTGTGGTACAAGGAGTTGATGCCAAAGATCCCAATGTCTCATCTTCCTGGTGTGACACCTTAATTTCATTGGTACCTACACTCAACGAAGATGTATTAAAGACAACGGTGCATAAATTTAAAACAATCTAATCAACTTTATTTAATAACAGCAAATTATTTCAGGTGATACCATTGGCTAAAGAAAAATCTGCACCAAACCAACCAATATCATCCAAAGTGTTTGCAAGCAATTTAATTGGAAAATTGTGCATTTACCCAAATTTCAAATCATTCGAGTAAGAATCCTATTGAATCAGAATTAAATTAAATTACTTAAATCTATTTATTTTATTTTTCAGTATTAAAAAAGATTTGTTACCATTAACTTTAAGCTTATGCCAAGATTGCTCTCCGGACGTTCGAGCAGCAATATGCACCAATTTACCCTTAGTAGCTCAAGGTAATTATTGAATTGTGTTTAACTACTAATTGATATTTATATTCACAGGCGTTGGAAAGCTGTTTGTAAAGAGCAATTTGCTTCCAAGTATTATAGAATTGGCATCGGATGAGAATGGGTCTGTTAGAGGAGCTTCTGTTGTTACAATTTCAACCAATTTGCAGTATTTGGATAATGGTGTGTGGTATAACATAATGGTAGTTTGTATTTTGAAATGTGTTTGAATTTAGATACTAAGAAGCAAACTATGGTTCCACTGCTGAAGCAGTTGAGTGAGAAAGGGCTCAGAAAGAATGATCCTACTGCTATTATTTTGGCCAACGAGTACGGCGTTTTGTTGAAGTCTCTCCAGAAATCTATACCACCTGCGGAGATCGAGTATTTTCTGAAATGCTACAAAAGCTTTTCGCAGATGGGGAAAGTTAATAATGATGTGAAAGTAGACGCGTCGAAAGTAAGTTTCAACTATCCATAAAATTTAGATTAGAAAAGTAGATTTCTTATATATGTAATTAAGTCTATTCAGTGACGAATTTAATGTTTTTAGAAGGTATTTTTTAAAACGTAAAGAGACATATTTTATAATTTAATATGATAGTTATGAATATTTGC